TGACTTGCTGCTTCAATAGACAACTGATTTAGCAAAGTATTACATCGTCTTATATAAACAAAGGGAAAGGTTTGGGATATATAAGGTCAAGTATTAACACAGAGGTTTCATGAAGTGAAAGGGCACAAAAATATAGGAGTATACATGTGATCCTCTGGTTTTTTTATATATAGTTCTGGCTTCTAGATATTTTATTGGTTCCACAAGTGCATAGTTTGGATATGCAGCTGTGAAGCTGTAAGGGGCAGAAAAATGGGAAGTATATGAAGATTTCATAAGAAGGGATGAAGATGGTCTACTAAATGTTTTTAGTAATAATACTGGCCATGCTGGCTGGTGCTTCTTTCTGGGAACTGGAATCCACAATATCTGAAGAGCCAAAGATTCCTCATTTCTGGATTAATTCAGAGGCCAATCCCAAAATTTGTGACCTTTCAGTTGAAACTGGTGCTAAATCAAGGATGGGAAATCAGTGCCCTCCAGTTGTTATTACACTGCAACTTCCATCATCCCTCACTATAAACTGTGTTGGCTAGGAATGATGATAATTCCAGTCCAGCAACACCTGAGGAGCTACATTTTTCCTATCCTTGTCCTAAATGTTTACATATATTCCAACTATGACTTTCTCTTCTCTTCTTATTGTATGTAATTCAAACATTGAGTCTTGCCTTTATCATGCATTATTGCATGGGTAAGAGCTAGTGTTGACATGGCTTTAGGGTTCAAGTGAAAATAACAGGAACAATTAAAATAACAAGTGCAATAAAAATTTATTGAAAACAATGTGTAAGGTTTTCCCCACATCACATTTCAGCTTCAAAGAACAGATAGGATTTATAGGAAAGTAGGACTTTCTAGAAACATAGCCCTTACCGTTTACTCTGCAGTTTCAGATCTTCAGCTATAACTAGGAAAGCAATCTCAGAAATCATATATTTTCAACTCCTGTATCATTCTTATAGTCCTGAATCAGAAAAAAATCATACCACTGTGTCTTTCCCTTGGAGCAAATCAGTCTTGTTTCAGATATACAAGCCTGTAGGGATGGGGAACAATTTCATTTGGGCCACATCTTTTAGAGAACCAACCTAATTTCTTCTTTCCTGACTAAAAGCAGAGCAGAACTCAGCTAAGATAACTAACATGTCTGACTTTTGGAACATAACTCTCAGCTTTAAAATTGCATACAAAAATGCCTATATTATGGAATGCACCAAAATGTGTATGTTAGGCTTCCATATAAAGTTGCATGTAGTACTGAAGTTGCACATATAGCTAGTATAATATATGGAAAACTACATATGAAAAATGCATATGAAAATGAATGTGAATTTTCATGTAGTTTTTAAAAAATGTAGAATGAAACAAAAAGCAGATGGAATCAACATACAACTGGTACAAACAAAATGGCCATGGACTGAAAATATACTGATCCATGCACCCCTGGTCATACTGATTCTCCCATTCCTAATCACACACTGTCCATAATGTTGATTTTTGCTTCCATTCTCCAAATGTTCAATATCACTCAATTTTTATCACTGCTTCTGCTTTGCCAATGTTGTTATTTCACTGTACAGTTCTAGGCAGCTCAATCCTACCATCAGGGACTCATTAAGAGTGAGCAATTTGGTACTCAATGAGTTGTTAACCCCAAGTAAATATATTAAAATAATAGAGTGATAAATTCAAATCCAATTGCACTGGGCTTGTTCTTTGCTCAATAATGTCCTTTGTAGAAAGAGGAAATGCTACTTAAAAACAGTTTTATATCAAATGTATTCCAGATTACTCACACTTAGGTTTTAATGTCCCATTCATTTCCCCCCTATCTGATCCAATGTATTTGACTTGTGCATGCTTATGCCCACACTTTCCATGAGTGAATGATTTAAGAGATAAAGAGCACAGGCTAAGATGATAATATGTGGTACTTAACCACAACTGATTGCTATTGAGAAGGAAGAAAGAAAACTATGATACCACAGCATCTCAGCAATAGCCCACAGGGACTCTTAGTTCAGGATTTACAGAGATGATGCAGCAAGAAAAAGTAGTTAGGCTATTTGTGGGATAGACAGAGGGAGAAATTTTTACTGAAATTAAAATACTGAGCACACAGGAAAAAAAAGAAAATTCAGGATAAATGAGGAATTGTATTGTATTCTCAGGTTCAATAGTGTTCTCTCTTCTCAGGCCGCCCCCGGGCTGGATGCAGTTTGATCTCCTGAATCTTCATGTTGATGAATAGATGTAAATGCATCAAAATGTGCACATTTGAAAAGTCCCTTCAGTTCCTGGAAGCAATGTGCATGTTTCAAATATGCTGACACAGTGGTATTATTAAAAATAATTAACAACCAGTTCTGTGGATATTCACTGTCTCCCTGCCAGGATCCCAGGAACTGGCAATGTTACTCCCCAGCTCCATCTCTGGCCATTTTTTCCTCTAGCCTCTTGGTACCAACCATGCTGGATGGTGGGGTGCCCAGTACATTTGCACCCCTAGCACTCCCCCATGATTTTGAAGGATCCGGTCATCTCTCCTCTGACCTTCTCACTTCTCTATCATCTGCTCCAGCCTCTTCCTTCTCCTTGCCTTTGCTACTCCTGGCTCCCTATTTAACCTTCTCATCCTCCATGTCTTTCAACAATTTTAACAATTGGTTCCAAAGAAATGTGCACACAGCATTGTATAAACATGCTCTGGCCATGGAGGATATGTTCAAATGATGTGCACATTTTAAACCATACAGACAATTCTGTACATTTAAAAGAAGAAGAAGAGGATGTGTCTCATTCTATTACAAAAAATGAACTGGGCACAAATCAGACAAATGAAGAATGTCCATGGATGTGGATTTTACATATTCGCATACCCTTGTAGAAAATTCAGAACATTTTCTGTTTAAAAATGTGACATGTTTATAAGAGCCCTGTTCAGAGGTCACAATAGGAATATACTTGGGAAAAAAATAAGACGGGATAGTATGCTAATGCCTCTCATTCTGTCATTACACTTCTCACAATTTGTGCAGAATAACATGCAGAAAAGGGAAGATGTACAAAAATTCCTACAATTCTAGCCAGCAAGGAAACTTTTTTAATCAATTCATTTTTGCATATGAGAATGTAATAAGCAAAGATTAAAATCCCTAAATTTACACACAACTCAAACCATCTGTGACTCAAAAATGCTTATTTTTGTATTCATTCCTATCTCATACATAAACACAAGGGATAATTCAACAACTGGTAGCCTTTCTCTAGTTGTAGTAGAAAAGTAATGAATCCACCATTATTCAGTCTGACCAGCTGTGGCACTGAAAAAGTGTGTGGTTCACTGTTTACATAGTTGTTGTGAATCTCTCAAGATCATTGTGTTATTCTGCATCCTATAGGGTACTGTTAGAAACTCACAATAAAAGCTCAATGTCAGTGTTTGGTCCAACTGTGTAACACACTATCTACTGCTTCCATGGGAGAAAATCAGTTTGCACCAACATGTTTGGTGGGGATCGTAAAATCTGACCATTTCCCCCCTTCATTTGAATTTTTAACCTCAATTTATTTCATGCTATATAAAGAAATTTGAAGAACTTTTTGGTAAATCCACCAAAACAAAAATCACCCCCACCAACACCAGCCAAATTGAATGGGTGCAACTATTCCAAGCATGTAGAAAACTACACATTATATCTACCTACCATACATGTGTTAAAGATGAGAAGTCTCTCAGAAAAAGAGACAAAGTGGTCATAATTCACCATGACTAAATACAAAGGAATTAAAATCCAGTCTTACAAGAGTTAAACATTCTTTCCGGATGGGAAAATCTTTCTGGTTTTTTTCTATATTGGTTTTTTTTTTAAAGTTTCAAGTTCTTTCCATCCCAAATATGAAGAAACTTACAAATCTGGATAAAGTCTTTAAAAAGATGAATTGAAAACAACCCATCCTGAATATCTAGTGGTAGAAAAGAAGCCTGCAATACTGCACAACAATATGCTGCTGTTTTGTTTGTTTTTTGTGTCTTTCTCTAAGTTGACTATTATCTTAGTCAGCAAGCATTTTGCCTGGGGGAGGAGCTACAGAACACTTGCCACTGAATTTAGCCTTAGAGTGTCTGTATGTTTGCATTATGTAAAAAGCTAAGCCCTTTAGGATTTACTTGTTTTGAAACTGGATCTTGGAACATAAGTGGAGGAGTAACTACATTTCAGCTGTTCCACTTTCTAGATGCATTTATTTGTCAGGCTTTGAAATTTACACAGCTCTTCTGTGGCAGGCTTTGGCATTTTGGAAGTTTAATTTATGTGTTTCTTTATTTAAATGCCTTGGCATGCAAGTTTATCAGGTTTATACATCCTAATCTTTAAGGGCTGAAAGAAGCAGACACAGCACAAATGTTGGCAACCCAGTATGGAGGTCTTTGGTGAAGATTTGCAATGGCTTTTGTCCAATGCTTTATTTGACAGATGTTGGAGGTAAAAAAGACAATGATCTTGCTCATTCTAAAAACCAAAGGAGAAAGATACAGCAGAAGAGGCAAATGCACTTAAATAAATGCCACATCTAGTCTTGTTAAGAAAGTACTTCTTGTGATAAAGTCAGAGCTAAAGCTTGAAATAAGAGCCATTCCACTCAGTTTTCACATTTTTTTGTTATGTAACAGCACACAGACCTCTTCAATAATCATGCAGTGATGGAAGAATTGTGTGTATATATGTGCCTTCAAGTCACCTTTGACTTATGGTAACCCCATAAATTTCACATAGTTTTCATAGGTAAGAAATACTCAGAGGTGGTTTTGCCAATTCTTTCCTCTGAAATATAGCCTACAAAGCTTCCCATCCAAGTAGTAAGCAGAGTGCTAGCTTGCAAGATTAGACAGAATGTGATATCTTTAGAATATTTTGGCCCAACGGAACAATTACTGCATGGCTACTGAAGAGGTCTGTATGTTCTTATATGATTAAAAAAAAGGAGTAATGAGAACCAGTGTGCTGTAGTGGTTTGAAAGTTGGACTAGGAATTCAGGGGACCAGAGTTCAAATCCCTGTTCAGCCATGGAAACCCACTTGTTGACCATGGGCAAATCATACACTCTCAGAGAAGAAGGTGATGTCAACCGCCCTTTGAACAAATCTTGCCAAGAAAACCTCATCATAGTTTGAAATAGGTTCATTTTCAGTCAGAAATGACATGAAGGCACAAATCAAAAACAATGAATTAACAATGATCTTATTAAAACCACTTTTCCTTGCAGCTGCAATTTGATTTGAGAGTGAATCTCCCAATGATAATTCAACACAAACTGAAGTTCAACACAAATTAAACTTTTGGGGGAGAGTTCTAGGTTAATATCATTCCATAGGGGGAGTGTCTATCCCCCCCATCTTTATTTCTTGTTATTTGAAACACATGGTGGACAACATAAGCCCTTCAGATGTTGCTGGACTACAAATCTTATTACTCCATCCACAATACTCTGTGCTGAGGGACAACGGCAATTATCATACTTCATACAGGCAACATCTACATTAATGTAGTGTTTAGTTTGGCCACAGACATTTATTCAGGCAGCAAGACCAACCCATGTGCTATATTTAATTATTCAAATGTTCTGGCTCATTTATTTTCTCTTCTGGTTATTATGACCTGTCAGGCATTATTATGACACTGTTCTAAGTTTGGAGGGTTTTTGTATTGTTTTGTTTTCCTTTTGGTTTTATGATTATTTTCCAGTTTTGAAAGCATACTTAATTCCTGAACAAACTGAAATGTCAGGAACTACTCCAACTGTAGCTCAAGATTCAAGACTCTCTCCTTCCACTTCTATCAGACCTACTTGCCTTATACACTGAAATGTTCTGAAATGAGATTCCTAACACTCTAAACTAGTTTCAGCCATGAAATGAACCATACACCCAACAGATTGGTCAATTACTATAATATGCTATAGGTGAAATTTATTCATCTTTTCAAAAGCATTTGCAGTCATCATTCTTAACTTTTATCTTCCAACCTTAGGTTTACCTCTAATTCTGTCTTGGAATATTTACTTGGAATATGTACATTCTTTTCTTACTTGAAACATTTTCTCTTTTATCTTCACTGGCTTTCCTGCCTGAAGGTATACTAACTGGCTAACTCACTTGAGCAACCTGGATTGTTTTACAAAAACATTTCTCAAGGCACCTGTCATACTACTCTGGTATAACTATGCTAATGAGCACCAGTATGGTGTAGTGGTTTGAGTGTTTGATTAGCACTCTGGGAGACCAAGATTTGAATTAGACCAGCTATGGAAACCCAGTATATGACCTTGGGCAAGTCATATTCACTCAGCCTCAGAAAAAGACAATGACAAACCTTCTATGAACAATCTAGTCATGAAAACCACATTGTAGGTTCACCTTAGGGTCTTCATAAGTCTAAAACAACTTGAGAGCACAGAAAACCAGAAATAAGAACTACTATAGTGGGAAATTCTTTGTTTCACTTTCTCGTACATTTGAATTTTCAAAAATCTCAGGCCTAATCCTATCACTAGTTCCAACTAGGTTAAAGCCACTGAATCAATAGGATTTACCAACCGGTATTTGTCAACTTACCATTAAAAAATGATGAATGGGACTACTGTATTTGGGACTAACCAATGAGCTTCCTGCCCTTGCACTCTTTCCTTCCCAAATATGAAGAAATTTGTGGGTTTTGATAAATTCTTTTAAAAATGAAATGAAACAAAATTAGCACCCATTTTTAATGTGTATGTTACCCCCCTCCCCTACAGATACAGACACCCTTTTAACAGCTGAATTCTTACACCTTTTAACAGCTGAAGCCATGGGGAAATTCAGGCAATATTGCTTTACAATACTGTGCCTCTTTTCTGGGAAAAGGGTCTCCTGTTGCAGCTCTGTCACACAGCTGCCAAAAAAGAACCTAGGATAAGGCCTACTTCTACAAAGCACACTGCTAAATCTTTCTGTAACCATTCTCTATTCTGAAAAGGTTTCCCAGAAGACCTACAGATTACAACCCAAAAAATCAAATGAATAGAAGTATAAATGAGAAGTTAATTAAGGCTAAAATTCTAAACATATTTACTTGGATGTAAGTCTTGCTGAAATCTTCTGAGTAAATAGATTTAGGTTCACAGCACTGATGTGACATATAGAGATGTTTATTTCTGGGAAGATTTAGTATGCAAGACAGAGCTTGCTCTCTTAGAATTTTACTCTTTCTTTCCTCCACCCCACTGTCTCCAGGCAATATTTGCTCCCCCACCCAAGGGTTGCCACTGTCCCTTATCATTCTCAGATCATGAAAACAGTAGAATAAACTTTCCAGCTAGATCCAAAAGGCTGAAGAATTGGGGAGTGGGGATGGCCAAAGAAAAAGAGCCCTATAATTCATGGAGTGTTATTAGAAACATATGTGATGGGGTAGTTATGGCCAATTGGTTCACTGCAATCTAAAGTTATATTTCATACTCTCTGGTATTTTACAGATGAAAATTTGGACACATGTGGCCAAGCAACATAAGCATATGATCACAATATCAAAAGTTATGAATGAGGAAGGACAGACAAGCAAAGAGGGACTGCAGCAGTTTCCTGTTGACTGAGTCTTAAGGGAATAACAATATTCCAACCCCTCTTCACCACCATCCCAAGTTAATACACTTACATTTTGAAGGCCATTTCTAGGAACTGAAATAAATTGAGGTTGAAGGGGGAAAGTTGAAGGAGGAGAGAGAAAATGGTGCATTTTAAAAGCAATGACAATCTGGGATGAGAGAGAATTAATTGGAAGCGTACCTGTCAGTGCAGGACCATTGAAGTGTGTGATATCTCACTCCATAATAGATTTTGAATCTTTATTGTGGGGCGGGGGGGGGAAGAGATCATACAAAAAGTATACCATCTATATTTTCTGATCCTTGCTGTCAATCAGAATCAGGAAAGCAGGGAGAAACACAAAATCATTAAATACATGCAAGACTCCTTGGAGAAGTAGATACATGCTCTGAACTTTTGATGAGCACAGCACACTGCTCAAACCTATGTGGCTCTGCTACATGGCTCCCATATCAAAATTAATCGTGTTTCCACCTTTTAGAACTGTACATGAGGTTCACAAATTCTATGAATTTGATTTTTAACAGTGAAAGTACTTTTTATATTTTCTTCATATATTTTAATTGTGTTTTAATCTATTTGTTTCAACTGATTTTACTCTTCCTAAATATTTTGATAACCATGTGTGGGGGAAAAGGTGGGTGTGATGTTATGAACTGTTCAAGGGAAGTAATCAGAGGTAATAAGGCAAGGATTGTCAGATGGAGGTGATACAGTGAGTGAGGGGAAATAAAGAGAATAATCTGTTAGGGTTAGCATGAGTAGTCTGTCAGATTCTGGAGATTATTTCACTGCCAATTCACTGGGAGAGATGCGGATTGTAACCGTAACAGATGTACCAAAATTCCCAGTAATCAAACAGCTCTGTGACCAGCAGTAGGCAGCCCGGATCCAATCCAGGCTTCTCCTGCAGCTTTTCAAGAATGGGGAAATCCTATTCTTGAAAAGCTGCAGGAGAAGCCCAGACTGGATATGGGCTACCTACTGCCAGCTACATGGCTGTCTGATGAGATCCTTCTGTTATGGTTACAACCTGCATCTATCCCTGTGAAAATTGGCGGTGTGACAATCTCTGTAATCAGCAGCTGGAGATTTAACAGTTTGAGTGGTTAAAAGAGTTAAAGAGGGTCTGAGATAGCTAGGAGATGAGAGTAAGCGAGAGTAAGAGATGTGTTTTAAATGTATTAAACTATTAATTTGTTATGCTATGTTCAAATTCTGTTCTCCTATATACTACAACGCTTGGGTTCACGTAGTGTTTATAGTGGGTAGCAGCTAATAAAGAGGGATGGTGTCCATTGGAGATGAATAATATGTCACACAGGATACATGAGATTATCTAGGAGGTCCCCACAGTTGGTGGTCATGGCACAGTTGGTGTCGTGGGATAGGAAGAGGTCCTTACATTTCTGGCAGAGAGGGAGATAAGGGGAAGCCCTCACATTTGGTGGGAGTGCGCAAGCTAAGTGGAAGTATTCACATTTCATGGCAACAGAGGTATATGCAGAATCCCACAGTGGGGTATAAATGAAATGAATACATAAAAAATAAATAAATGAATAAATAAATAAATACCCCACTTGTAACATCAGGAATCACTTCACTAGTCATTGTCATCATTCTTTGTTTAATCTTTCTAATAAAGCATGCTGCATTTGTATATTTTAAAAAATAAACTGACATCCAATAGGAACTTAAGAAGCTACCTTATACTGAGTCAGACAACTGGTCCATCTAGCTTTGTGTTGTCAACTCTGACTAGCAGTACCTTTCCAGGGTTTTATCCAGTTCTCTTTTCTACCTTTGCTGGAGATCCAAGGACCAAGAAGATCAGGATGGTATATACAGTTCTCTCCAACACTGTTGCCAAAATTTTATCCTCCTGATAATTTTGTATAGTAGGTTAGACTAAGGGGGGATGCAGACGGGTGGCCATGAGCCACCCTGAGAAGCAGAGGATTGGGACTGAGGCTGCCCCATGCCTCGGCCCCAATCCCCCCTTTTGGTGCCTGGGAAAGGAGTGCCAAAATAGTGCACCTTTCTCAAGCCGCAGAAAGGACGCCGGAAGAGCCATTGTGCGGCTCTTCCGTGTCTCTTCTAGCGCAGCACATGCAGAGGCTGCACTGGGAGGACATCATCAGGGCGCTCGCACACTGTGCACACTCTGATGACTTCCTCAGGGAGAGCTTGAGGCAGCCACTGTGCAGCTGCATCACCCCTAAGATACCGTTCAGTGACAAGGCTTAGCAGCTTATCGCACCATACTCTTAAAATGGGGCTAGGTTGCTTTAACAATTCTGATTGCGTTCTGTTGTATTTTGGGGTTTGTAGTTCAGTGAGGTTTAAAGGCTCTTTGGCTGAATAGTCTAAATGCCTCTTCCTAAACTACAAGTTCCAGAATGCAACTGGGGGCAGGCAGAGCAG